ACCTTATTTTGGCTCACTTCACAAAGATCTATTTCACCTATAGGTGCAACCCCTCGGTACACTCCCTACACAGTGCTGATGCCTGAAATTCCCTTCTACGTGAACACAACCAGCTGCGATGCTCTATTCAAACACGCAGAACTCTGGGAGAGAGGGCACGTGTGTCTCTCTGCCCTCTGATGGGCAAATGGATGCTGGAGAGCTGCCTGACCGGAGACCAGACATGAGCTTAGCTCTCCCCCTCGGTAACCCTGAGTCTCTTCCAGCCGCCTTGCCTATGCAAGGGAGAGGCTGTCACTCACTGCCCCCCCCCTGCCCCCGTGTATAGAAAGAACTAAATAAAATACACAGTAACCTTAGAGTAAGAGGTCATTAAAGACTACCTCTAATTTTTGCTGTTATAGCTATTACATCTCCAAGAAAGACAGGATATAGAGAGGCAAAGATGTTATCCCAGTCAAGGTTCGATTGGGGACTGTGGGTGGGGTAGATATAGCTTCCAAATGAGAATCATCAAAGAAGTGCGTAGTCCCCCTGTTAGAACTCAGCCAATCCATTGTTCCTCGGTGCTGTCGCTGCTCAGTCAGTGAGCCTAGAAGCAGCAGCAGAACTGCCCCATAGGTTTTTCTAGATTATCATCTCCAGGGATGCAGCTCTTCTCCTTTGGAGTGGCTGGGAGGTTTTCCACTGTCCTTTCAACTGGCAGCCAAAGATTTGAACTATTATGCCACCAGGGCACCTCGCCAAAGACTCGTAGCCAACGTAAAAAGAGCAATGGTACGAAGAGAAGGTGGGAAGGTAGGCCCAGAGGAGAAGGCCAACCTGCCCAATATCACAAAGGGGATTAACTCCCAAACCAGGGTAACAGCTCACGTGGAGAAGATCTCGATTCATGGTATCGAGCAGAGCTGCGCCTCCTAATCTATAATAGCTTTCAGTCAACAGACCTCCTTCACTGACCTCCCTAGTAGGGATGAGGATGCCCAGGGCCATCATGTACATAGGCCTTTAGGACAGTTCTCAGAATTTGTAGCTCTCAGAGAGCTACAAATATAAATGAACTGCCTCCACCCATAAAAGCATATTCTTTAATAAAATAGGGGGGGGGGCTTGAAAACCGTCTTTATAATCAGTCAGCAGGCAAAGCAAGCAAGGCTCCATCAGTAGACTGTAATGAGCTCATGGAAGAACCCTGAGTCTAGGTGCCCAAGACAGAGCTTGCCATGTGTTTGCATTGGCAACTTCCTCACCTTCCATCCACACGGCCTGTCACAAGTTCATCTCGCAAGTCTGGGCTCCAAAAGCACTTCCACAGAGCCAAGCCTTTCTCCACCCTTCACGACCTGGCCTGAAGGACCCCACGCTCCCACTCCTGGTCTTCTTCGGGCACGCAGCTCGTTGCTAGGTGCTGCTGGCTCTGCTGCAACTCCTAGTGACGCTACAGACGACAGAGCCCGTGTCTGGAGCAGTCCATTCTGGTTCCATCCACTGCTGAGAACTTGCATTTCTAGCCCAGATATATGCAAGCAGAATCTACAGTTCCGTATGATCCCCAGGTGAGTCTTGGGGTCATGCTAAACAATAGGTCTCCTTCTATGTAGCTGGGGAGGAAGGGCAAGTGCTCAGTAGAGGGTCAAACCAGTCTGGAGCCCTGAACAAAATGGAATGCTACCAAATCCTGAACCATTCTCACGATTACTGGTGTTTGCACCCATGGTTGCAGTGGAGACATGAGTCCATTTCCTTGAAGGTCTTCCACTTCCTCATTGATTTTCTACTTTACCAAGAATAATGTCTTTCGCCAAAGACTGTCCTTCTTGCCAAGATGTCCACAGGAAGGCTCCTTGATTTAAAGGAGCCTCCAGATGTCCTTATTCCAAGACAGACGTATACTCATTCTTCTGTCTGCCCATGGGCTAGTCAATATTCATCATTGGTGAATATCAATTCTTCTTCAGTCTTTCTTATTCAACGCCCCCTTTTTCACAGGCATACAAGGCAAGTGACATGGGTCAGCTGAACCTTAATCCTCAATCTGACATCTTTGTTTCTATGCTTCCAAGAAGGCCGTTTGCAGATGAGCTGCCCAATCCGGCGTGAGAGGGACTTCACCTATTTCCTGAAAAATACGATGTGGAGTTAACTTTCCCAAGAACAACTCTTTGAAGTGCCCTTGGATGTCCTTTCAGTCACTTACTGTTGTTTCCAGGGGTGTTGATTGTGGATTCAAGGCTGATTAAATCCTTGACAACTTCAATTATTTTCCCCATTTATCCTGCTGTCACTTACTGGTTCATCTGTGAGGTCTTTGATTTTCCATGTTGAAGGAACACATACTGAAGACTACAGTCTTATCTTCATCCCTTAATGCTTGCAGTACTCTTGCCCTTCCCCCAGTGAGGCAATGTCATTTGCATATTACACACTGTGAATGACTCTTCCTCTAATCCCCATGACACCTTCTTCTTCATATAATCTAGCTTCTGAGACTTTGCCCAGGATACGGAGGATGTAAGCATGGTGAAGGGATGCAACCCTGGCACACATCTTCCCCACTTTCAAACCATGCAGTAATCCTTCGTTCTGTTCAAAGAACTGCCTCTTGGTCTATGTACAGATTCCATGTGAGAAGTTAGTGCTCTGGAATTTCCATTCTTCACAATGGTTTCCATAGTTTGTTGTGAGCTATGCAGTAGTGCCTTTGCATAGTCAGTAAAAACGCACATAAACATTTTACTAGTATTCTCTGCTTTCGGCCAAGATCCATCTACATCAATATTGACACCTACTGTTCCACATCCTCTTTAAAATTCGGTTTGAATTTTTGGCAGTTCCCGTTAGATGTTTACTGACGCAACCATTTTATAAATTACTTCCAGCAAAGGTTTACCTGTGTTTGCTACTTATGATAGTATCCAATAATTTCTCCCACTGTGTTGAGCACCTTTCTGTGGGATGGGCACTGGTAGGAAACTCCCAGTCATTTGGCTAAGAAGCTATTTTCAAACTTCTTTTCTCCTCGAGGTGCATGTTTTCCAGTGTTGCATTAATTTATTGAAGCATCTCCACTGGTAACCCATCAATTCCTGGAGCCTTGTTTTCACCAAGACCTTCCGTGCAGCATGGACTTCTTTCTTAAGTACCACTGGTTCTTGATCATATGCAACCACCTGAACTAGTTGAGCAGGACCAAGTCTTTCTGGTGGAGTGACTCTGCGTATTCCTTCCATTGGCACTCGATGCTTCCTGCATCGTTGGATATTTTGCCCCTAACACTACAACTCAAGGTTTAACTTTTTCTGCAATGTTCTACGTTGGACAAATGCTAATCAAGCTGTTCCCCTTTGGTTTTCTGACCCCCAGGTCTCTGCACATTTCATTATACTTGACCTTCTCCAGCTGCCCTTTGGATAATCTGTTCTGCTCTTTGACGCTTCATCATTCTTTTTGTTTGTTTGCATGTTTTGTTTTTATTTATTTATTTATATTAATGGGGATTTACTACATATATCATTTCATCCTTCAATCACGTCAAGTAATATTGTACAATTGCTACCACAATGTTTCCAAACTGTCATTTTCTACATGGGCAGTAATTTTTGAGTAACATGAGTAAACGTCATCGTTTATTACAGTCACTTTATCACTGCACATTCAAGAGCAAGCTTCAGAGTTTCTTCTGACCTGCACTTATTTTTCTTTATCTTTTTAATGACACTTTGCGTTCTTCACTCACGATGTCCTTGATGTCATTCTACAACTCACTCGTCTCCTGCTCTGCTCACTGCTGGTCAACACAGTATTCAAATGGTCTCTAAATTCAGGGGTGATATAGTCTAAGCCATACTTTGGCTCTAGAGTACTTGTTTCCTTTAAGAGGGCCAGCACATACCTTTATTTATAACCTTTAATTCTTTATTTCTCAGATCAATTGACTACATAATTCATGTTAACAATCAGACTACTGAGGATGATGATGAATATATAATATAGGCCTAAGAAATGTCTGTCAAAATAGTGAATGGATAAAAGATGGATTTTAAATAGCTGATTCTAGGCACCAAGTGTTCCGAATGCAGACTTTTCCAAGACTCCTGAGTTATTCACATTGAAAACATTACATGGTCTTGCAGCCACCCACGGGATTCTGAGCACCAAATCACAGCTCACATTATTTACTGTCTAAGACGATCTGTCTCTGGAAAGATGAAATGACAACTTTAGAGGGGCTGGTGCTATATTTTCCAAAGGGGCTTCAAACATTCAAACATTTTCTCTCTCTTTGTCCTCCCAATTTTTCTGATTCTTCCTCTCCCCTGGTCTATTATAGATTAGAGCCACAGTGGCATGGTGAGTTTGCTTGCTGCACTGTTAACCACAAGGTCAGCAGTTCAAAGCCACCAGCCTCTCCCTGGGAGAAAAACGAGTCTTTCTATGGCCTTCAAGAGAGCAGTCTCAGAACCCACAGGAGCAGTTCAACTCTGTCCTCCGGGTCGTGGGGAGTCACAATTGAGTTGATGGCAGTGAGTGGAGAGGTATAGCATGGTTCTAATTCCTTTGGGAATAGGTTGCCTTTTCTGTTAATGGGTCGAGATTAGTGTAAGTTGTGTTCTAAATCAATCTCTTTTGAGAAAGAAGATCGAACAAGCAGACGCAAGAAGCAGAAGTAGGGGAAGTGAGATGCCAAGCCAAATGAGATGGGAGACAAGGACCTTCCTCCAGAGCCCAGAGAGAGAGAGAGAGAGAGAGAGAGAGAGAGAGAGAGAGAGAGAGCCTTCCCTTGGCTGCTTCCTGAATTCAAACTTAGAGCCTCTCCAACTGTGAGAGAATCCATTTCTGCTTGTTACAGTCACCCACTTGTAAAATGCCTCTTCTCACAGAACTACACAGCTAAGACACGTCCAGCAGACAGACAATAGAGGCCATTCCAGTCTTTCACTCCAGGGTCTCTGTCTGACCGACCACTCGCAGCACCCCCTCTGGCCGTGAGTGAGCCTTACCTTCCTTCATCCTTGAAGATGAATTTCCGCAGCTTGAGGTCCCTCAGCACCAGGCCCCCGTCGTGGCAGTGGGCCACCGCCGAGGCGATCTGATAGAACAGTCTGGCCGCCTCCTCCTCTCTCAGCTTCTTACAGGTTCGCACGAAGGAGTGCATGTCCCCATAGCTCCGCTCAAAGAACACATAGGCTTTGGTCTCCCCCAGGATAATTTCAGTAATTTGGTTGATGTTGTTGTGGGCAGACAGGCAAAAGCACGGGGCGAGGGACTCCTGGTAGCAGCTGATATCAAACACCTAGGGCGGGATTGACAACAGAACCAGATGTCAGAGGCATCTTGTACCCAACCCAGTCACACACTCTTGACCCCTCCCCCCTCAGCCAGGAACTTTAAGATGACAGAGGATGCTGCACTTGAACCTATATCACACTGGTCGGCCTCCTCTCAGCCCCATGCAGGGCCTTCCACTTGCATCTCTCAGAGCCTACAAATCTTCATGTGTAAACGGGCGAATCATACCTGATACACAGTAGTGGGGGAATTACAGGAGAAAGCTATTCTTTGCAAAATGCAATGCACGGGAGCAAGGAGCATTCTCATCATTCTCTGCAGCCCACACACTTGTTTACAGAAGCAGCACAGAAGCCCGATCAGAAACAAAGTGACCCACCTGCAGCAGCAGACAATTCTGACTTTCGAAAATAAAAACAAACACAAGTGCCATCAAAAGGCTCTCTGCTACATAGTTTCAACTTGTAGCTCTAAGAAACTGTCTGACTCAGTAGCTTTACTGTAAAGATGTGGGCACTGAGGGGAAGGGAACTCCAGCCAAACTCTAGCACCCAGTGGCGAAGTGAGGAATAAGACATGCTGAAGATGAAAGCGCTCTCCCTCCCTCTCTCCTCCCTCCAGATACAGAACTCATTGAGGCAGGCGGTTATGCAATGATTTCCTGTGAAGCAAAAGTTGCCTGGGAAATGCTGCCTCGCTGTGAGGTTGTTAAAAAAGAAAAAAATCATCAATACCTTTCTTGAATCGGACCCAACTGGAATTAACACTGCTTGGAATTTTGAGGCACTAGGGGAAAGCTTCTATGCATTTCCAGACATCCACAAATCAGGAATACAAATCCTGGGTGTGGAATGTGGTTCTAATAGCTGCCTGTGAATTCAGGGCAGATGAATCTCTTGTGTGTGTGAAAGAGTGAGGGACGGGCATGGGGTGCTTGGTGGGAGGGCATCTCAGCCAGGGATGCTTGAACAATAGCCTAAATGTTACCAGTCCACAAGCTTTCTGCCTCTTCACATTTTTCGTTGGTTAGAACATTCTTTCCTCAGCTGTCCTTTTGCAAGGTGGGGAGGGAGGGGAGTGAACTGCTGGCCTAGGAATCACTGCATTTGAGACTCTCACCCTGGCTTGGCCACCAGTAAACTGACACTCTTAATCTTAGATCAGGTACTGAGGGTCACCCAAGCCTTCCTCCCTCCTTCTTGCTCTTCAAAAAATGAAGCGATTGATTGAGAACACTGCTCGCTATTTCTGGGTTGAGATTCCCCCCCCCCACCCCATGAATCTGATAAAAGTGTGTGTCCCCGTACCCCTTCCCCCCACCCCCAAGTTGACAACGCCCATTCTCAAATTCATACATTAAAAACTGGATCCGTTTTAAGGGTATTTGCAGCCCCTCAGAAACCTATTCAGGGACACAAGCTGGCATTTAAGAATCCACAAGTCCCTCCTAGTTTTAAAATATAACAAAATTTGTGAGTCAAACAGCAAAAGCCTCAGGAGGGCTGGTGCTAACCCTGGGCGAGGAAGCAAAGTCACATTGTGAATGAACCATAATGAGGCATCTCAGGGAAGCGGCACAGCTGCCGCCACTATAACCTAGAATTTAAGAATGAATACTTCAACCTCTCCAGGGACCACAAATCACACCCTGATACTGTCAAAGGATGACCTAAGAGCAGTGACCTCAGAGGCCTGTTCAATTAGGAATCTGAAATGCCTGAGTCAACTTTAACACCCTGGCTGCAGGCAACAGAAGCCTAGGCAAACCCCCGAGATTTCACAGAGATGAAGAAAGGCTTAGCAGTGGTGCATGTAAACACTGTGCATTATATAATGAGGGTGCTGTGCTTTGAGGTACAGGGCTCCACTTCTGTCTCCAGTGCTCGCTTGAGGAGTTGAGATAATCCATTATGTATTCTGTTTCAAGTTGCATTTAAAAAATAAATACAAGGTGATTAAAAAAAATTTTTTTTTCATTTTTAGCACCGTTACATTATCATCCTGCCCTCCAGACGGGCATGGAATGTAAATAATAATAATAATACCTATTCGCTGCAGCTGCAAAATGTAGCCAGACCCTTTGTAGAACAGACCAAATTCCAAGATGGTGGACAGAGTATGAAAAATAATGCATGTACTTTAAATGTTTCCTTAGGAAGGAGCCAAACTTTTAATAGTACCTATATAACATTTATAGGTTTGGATTGATATTGAAATCATTACCTTCAAATGAAAAATCATCCTGTTGGGGTAGTGCTAACTCCTTTTAAATGTTTAATTTTGGAGCCTGGGTTATACAATGTGACAGTTCAGATAAGGCAGTTAAGATTAGCCCATCATTAATAACATTTGGGGGGGAAAGAATGTGCCCAATCTGCTAAGATAGTAATTATGTCAATCTGCACGGTAGCTAGCAGCAGCTCCATGAAAATTATACAGTTAAAGCTCCCTAACAGTTCCCTCCTTAGTCTGTGCAGCTAGCGCAGGCATGTGGAGTATGTAGACAATAAATAGGGCTGATTATTTTGTTTAAATGGCACTGGAACCTCCCTCTCTTCCAATAGAGCCTTGCAGAATTCTCTCTAGAGACCTCTAGGCTAGAGGATGGCATCTATATATTGGCTAGGCTTTTGCAGACTTTCTTCTTGAGTCTCCAACACAATGCTAGGAGACATGCACTCTGATCAGACATCAAAAGGAAGTTGGTTCAATGTGGAGATTTCACTGAGCTTTGAAGTGAGCTACGAGTTCAGTGTATGTATCTCAGGGTCATTCCCAGAAGCAGCTTACTAAAGCTCACTTGCAACTTCGTAGGATATATGAATACAATGGTGCTGACAAGAGAAGTCACCCATAACACCTCTGGTTGAAAAAAGGCAGGGACACAGAGCCTGCTATGCCTTAAAGGGATGACCTGTGTCAAGCAGAACAATGAGACTGCACTTAAATCGACGTGAAGCCACATAGTCATTGTGGCTGATTCAATCTTTGCAAGAAGCAAACCCCCCAAAGCATCAAGTACAGTTCTGTACCACAGAGCAATCTGCAAATGACACTGAGGGCTGCCCAGAGGACCTACACGTGGAAGAATCCAAAGGGATAAAGAAAGAGCAGGGGTCAGAGTCACCTCTGCTTCTAAACAAAGGTATAAACTACAAACAAGATGCTCCTGCAGAATTTGGCTTGGTGGAAAAGCATCTCCGGTCTTTGAACGTTATTCAAAGGCTACACCTAAGTTAAGCAAAAGGACGGAGTGGAAACACTCACTGCTGGATGCCCGTGCATATTTCATGTTGGAGTGGCAGATCTGTGGAATTCATTCATTTCAAAGAGTGACTATCCTATTGTGCACCGTTGCAGGACTTCTGAGAATTCAATCCAGCTCTGAATAGCCTACCGAATTTTGGCTACCCGGGCACAACTGCTCTGGCTCTTGGTGACTTGGAGAGATGCAACATGCCAGGACAAGTAAAGGGCCGTATTTGAAGAGTCTCCCAATTTCTCCTTGGAGGTCTGAGTTGCAAAAATCTCTAAGAGGACTGGAAGAACCCCATGAAATCCAGTTTCTACAAAGACATACTCTAGTCCACAGTGAAATGAAAGACAGTCCAGGATCAGTCTAGTGAAAGTGTGATGCGTTATTTGTATGGAAACTGTGCAGAGCACCCATTTCAGTAACAGCATGAGTCCCCACTCCCCCCGCCACCCACAAAAAAAAGACAACAGTGAGCAAATTTAAAATTAAGTGACAAAGAATTATTGGTATAATAATGTGTCTAATTCCTGGGTAGCGGTATCTTCCATGGCATTATTATTATTATTCCTGCAACTATCCCCCTCCCTCATCCGCTTGTCTGGAGCCCTGCTTGACTGCACACAAAGACTCACAGAGACTCCCCCACCCCCACCACACACACACACACACACACACACACACACACACAGGAACCAGTCACTGCTCAGGGTCAAAGACAAAAAAGACCACCCGAAGTGCCCATCCCAGTGCCGCCCTGAAACCCCAGGGGTCTTGAAACGCTAGCCTCCCCAGGCAAAGGTGTGGGGGGGAGGGCGCCAGGAGGGGGAAGGGGGCGGCACGGAAGTCTCGCTATAGGAAGACGGACAGGAAGAAAGACCCAAAGGAGTCACTGTTTCCTACACGCAAAGGTGTGCCTGCGGCTTTGATTTTCACCTTCCAACCTTCCTTTCACGGTTCTAGGCCAGCCAAGCTTTTCATAAACTCCTTCCCCGCGCTGGGCCCCCGGGCTCCGCCAGGAGGGACAGATACCTTTGTGTGTCCCTTCTAAAGGGCACCTTCGGAACAAAGGTCTAACACCTGCATGCCGCTCAGAACAATGGCTCAGAACAACGTCGCCCGCGTCTCAAAATTCGCTGGGAATTCCCCACGTCCAGGTCGGAAAGAGGGGGCTGGAAAGAGGCAGGAAGCCCGTGGGCAGCAGGGCCCGGCTTGGCGCGGCCCAGCAGGACGTGCCAGTGGGAGCCGCGTGTCCGTGGCCCCCCGCGCAGTCCTGCCGCCTCCCCCGCCCTGGGCTCTCCCCAAACGCCCCCGCTGCAAAGCGCCCCATTGTCTGGAACCGTCTGAAAACTTCGCAACTACTGGAACGGGAACCAAGCAACCAACATATATCCATTTAGCCAGCTCGCGGTTGATTATTCTGAGAATTTCCCTCCCCCCGGGCTGGAGGGCTGGGCGACCTCCAGGTCCCATCCGGACCCTCTTCAAAGGGCCAGGGACCTTTCAAAAGGCGCACAAATAAACGCACATACAAGCCCGAAGCTCTTTACCTTGCACACCAACCTCTCTCCGCTGTGCAGATGCACGGCGCGGAAAACGTGGTCTCCCTCCAGAGGTTCCAACAACAAGTATTTCCCGATGCAAGAAACGCAATGCGACAAGTTCGGAGTCTCAGGCGGGCTCGGGGAGCCGAGGTTCGGGCTGAAACTCTGGCTGGGCTCGGCGGACCTTATTGACGACAGCTCTTCGAAATCCTGGGTTTTGTTCCGCGATCTCCCATAGCGTGCTATTGTGATGGGGGTGGATCTGTGTATGTTCATGAGTGTGGGGATCACACACGACAAACAAACAAACAAACCAAAAAAACCCGCTGGCGAGATGAGTCGTCGCTGGGCGAGTGCGGCTGCAGGCGCCTGAGTGTCACGGATTTGAAAGGAGGACGGGAGGGGAGGGGAGGGAAAAGGGTGGCGTGGAGAAGTAGTTGGGAGCCCCCCAACAGGCAGCGCTGGGCACCTTCTCTGCTGGGAACCTGGCTCCAGGGAGCACTCGGTGGGCCAGCGGCCGGCCGGGGTCCTTTTGTTACTGAAAAGCAGCCGGCGATTTGCAGATGCGTTGCACTTTTAGTTTCTCTCTCGGCCTCCCCCGTTCGCAACGCCTATCGAGGCGAGTGAGCGGATTGCAAAGGTGGGGTGCTGCAGCGCTGGGTTTCCCGAGGGGACCCCACGCAGGCTCCGAATCGCGGCCGGGGCGGAGAAGCCCCTACGGTAGTTTCTGCAGTCTCGGTCCAGTCCGCCGCGCGGCTCACTCGCGAGGCGTTAGAGCCCAGACAAAAAGAAAAGGGAAAGGAACGCGAGTCTCCCGGCTCGCGACGCACCGCACACGGAATCCGTGCTGCACCCCCTTTTTTGGTGGAAAGGCAAGGGTGGGGGGCGTGGAAGCGGGGTGGGGGTGGCGGTGGAATGGCTGGAGAGGGCAGTTACCTACGTTTGAACTGTAGATGGCGTCTGAGTCTTCGCTAAGATCGCGAGCGCGCTCCAGAAATTAAACAAAACAAAACAAAAATTACGAGGGAGCATTTAACTTGGAGCGGTCAGCACTGCCAACAAAAGATTGCAAAAGCTGGGCATGGAGTTGAAGACCGGAGCGGGCCGGCGCAGGTACCGCGACGGGTACCGCCGCGCGATGGGTCAGCGACAGCTCATGCCCGGGTCTCGGGAATAAAGCGAGAAAGGGGGTCTGGGACGGCGGCGGCAGCCCAGGGGTCTCCGATTCCCCAGGCACCGGCTTCCTGGGGTCCTCCCGGCGTTCTTAGGTGATGAACCTCCGATCTGGCCAACTCCAGGCGTCTCCTCCCGGCTGTATAGCTGGATCTTGCCTGGGGATAATTTCCACCACTCCTTCTCCAAGCCGAAACCCTGATTTCCTTGCGGGATTCGGCTTAAAGAAAACTGACACTTTTTCCTCTGCTTCTTCGTTGCTCTCCCCTCCCCCGGAGAGGTAAGAGAGGAATATGTATTTAAAAATGAAGGGGGAGCGCCGACGATCCGGAGGCCGATCCCCTCGCTCAGCAAGCCGGCATCTCCCGGCGGCGAGGCGGTATTAATAGTTACTTACGTGGCCGGGGATCTCGG